CGCATTAGAGACAGGTGCACTTGGCAGGGATTTACGGTCTCCGGGAGAGGAGGACGTGGAGAGCAGAGAGCTGGGGAGGAAGGGCTTTGGTCTGCGTGGCTCCAGCACGGAGGCCACCCACGCAGAGCAACCCACAGCCGGGTCTAGCCAGCCCCTTCCTGGCGTGAGCAGCTTGGGGCGGTACCCACCTTTCTCCTCGCGGGGGTGCCTAGGACAAGCCTGGGTCTCCCCAGCACTGAGATGTAGGAGCGCCACGGGCACAGCTCAGCCCTGGCCGGCAGCGGCACCTGCTGTGCTTCGTGTGTGTGTGTGTGTGTGTGTGTGTGTGTGTGTGTGCGCGCGCGGGGGGGCTCTTGACAGTGGTCGCAGAAGTGAGGGGTCCAGGCTCAGAAAGGTTGCGTGACTTGCGGAGGGTGCGTGGCCGTTGTAGTTAAGGACAATGATGATGAGGATGATGGTGGCCGGTACTGTGGGAGGAAATAGGCCAGTAGAACGGCAGTTCGCTAGGCTCTGCTTGGAGGACATTCACAGATCATGTTACATCTGTGGGACACCCGCAGTGTTGCGCCACCTGCTTTGCCTGGGACCATCACTTAGGCAGAAGGGGAGCAGGCGCCGGAACTCTCCTGCCTGACTCCAGGCCTGTTGATTCCCCTTGTCACACTGTCTTTGAAAGGTGCAGGTGCCGTGTGCCCGGCCTGAGGACCCTGGACAGGGCCAGTGAGTGAGGAGGGGGTCGGTACACAGGCTTCCCCTGCCAGTCCTCACACCCTCTCTTCCTTTGCCACTGCGAGTGAGAGGAAAGGCAAAAGCACTGGGGAGAACCTGCTGGCCCGGCTCTGAGGGCCAGGCTCCCTCTCCGGGTTTCTCCGTGGGAAGCCACACTCCCCGATGGGGAGAGGGGAAGCGAGGCGAGAGAGCAGGGCCGCTCAGAGTGCGTGTGAAGCTCCCTTGTCCCCTGCGGTCACCTCGGATCAGCGGCAGTGCTGAGGAGGGAAGGGAGTCCTGTAGCGCATGGGCTCCTGGCCAGCTCATGCATGCTGGGCTTGCTGTTGCTCAGCAGAGTCAGGGCCCCTCTTAGCCCCACTCAGGGAGCACTGGGTGTGCGCCTCCTTTGTGTGGCAGCCCGGGCCCTGCACCTTCCTCTGCTTGCACAGAACTGCAGCTGCGGCCCAGAGCCCCTTCCACCCTCCCCGGGTCCCCTCCGTCACGTTGCCCCAGTTGTCCAGTCCAGTGTTTCACAAATACTTTTTGAGGATTGGGAGAGTAGCTCGGTAGGGGCCCTGGGTTCTGCCCCCAGCAGTGCAAAAGCAAAACCTAGTTCTGCGCGTCTACCGTCTGCTAGGCCATGGAGCTAGAGCAGGTAAGAGAACAGTCCCTGGCCTCTTGGCATTTCCACTTGGAGATGTAGCGTTTCATTCTCTCAGGACGGCCATTCAGGCCCCTGCCAGGACAGAGCCTGCGTGCAGGGCTGGACCACCTTGGGCTGTCCTTCAAGAGGGTGCTGCACATTGCAGCCTTATGACTGATGGGCTGATCATTTGATGCCTTTGGCTCCAAGGTTAGCCTGTGAGCTCCTGGACCTTGTGGATCCAGTGCTGACCCTGTAAGCACATGCCGAGTGACAGAACTGACACAGGGAGGAGCCTTGTGGCTGGTGCGATCAGCTGGCTGGGGCCTTGGCACTTGTGTACCGTGCGCAGACTTCCCCTGTCTCCTCCACAGAAATCTCCAACCTGCTGGTGGCCACTAAGAAAGCCCAGGAGTGGCAGCCGGTCTACCCTATGAGCCAGCTGAGCTTTGATCGGATCCTCAAGAAAGATATCATGCAAGTGAGTCATGGGTGTGGACCCTGGGTGTAGCCTGGTGCCCCTTAGTACAGGGGGGGAGCCAGGATGGAGGGTGGAGCCCAGCTCTGGGGAGGTGGTTGTGGGGAAGAAGCAGACTTGCCCTTCGTGCTGCAAGAGCGCACCCTGCCGTGTCCTGGAGGCAGTGGGTTAGTGGGCGTTGTCTCCCCGGGCACAGCACCTCTCATGGCGAAGGAGCACTGGCTGCGGAGCCTGGGCATGATGTGCTCCTTGCAGCTGGGAGCACTAAAAGGTGTGGGTCTGTCTAGGGGCATCCGGATTTCCCTACTGAGCGCCATCGTTACTGCTGCCTGTCCCTCTGGTGGAGCCAAGAGCTTCGTGCGTTGAGGCTCAGACCCCAGAGCCACAGGGCCACAGCCTACCTTTCGTCTCAGACCCAAGCGACACTGGGGCTGCCTGCGTTCTTGCCCTGGGCCATGCACATGTATGCCCAGTCAGCAGAAAGCAGTGCGCCTGTGGCTGGGGCGCTGGCTGGGCAGCTCGCAGGGAGTGGATGGCACAGGCTTTTGGCTGTCTAAGAGGGTCATCATCAAGACATGCGTCTAAGGTGGCCGAGTGAGTGGGTGTGGAACCAGCAAGGCCCTCACCAAGGGGAGGGCAGGGCAGGGCAGGGTTGGGCCCTGGAGGAGGAGGAGCATCTCAGCAGAGTCCCTGAGACCTAGCAGCGGACCTCTGCCAGGGCCGGGAGCAGCAGGGAGGTGTGGACTTGGTGTGGGGGCTCTGGCGGCTTGCTGGGGGCTCCCGACAGCACGTGGTGAGGCCAAGCCTCTGTGTGTCGCCCTTGGGAACGCGGCTTCCCAAATCCTGGATGTATTCCTTCATGACACAGGCAGCTTCCGTGTATCAGGTCAGGAACTGCAGGGTGCTGCAGGCAGATGGACACGTGACCATGCTGCCATGACGGATGACAAATGGTGACATTTGTGTAAATTTGGAGCATAAGACTAATTTCGTCATCAGGGCACCTAAACGTGGGCCTAGACCCATGTTTATTCTTCAGGATATTTCTGTTGATGAATTATTAACTTTAATATTAGGAGTTTCATCATATTAAACAGTGAGTACTTAACAGGAAAAGGTATCACAAAAATAAAATACTGCATTTTTAGTATTTGTTGTTTATAAAACAGCATCAAAATTTTCAATATGACTGGTTTTTGGTGTACAAAGTCTAAAAAAGAATATCATAATAAATTCCCACATGAACTATAATGAAAACACCAGTAGCACTCTATAGAAAAATGATCTTTAATTCAGTTATCACTCGCAAGGCAGTTTGCACACATTACAGCTGCATGTTCCATGTGCACGTGTGCTTAGCTTTCCTTTCCTATGTGACAGTCTTGTCACCTCTCTTCCTGTCAGGAGCTTCCTACCGTACTGTACGCCATGCGCTTAGTAGGGAAATAAGATGTCTATAAAATACAATATCAAATATGTAATGAGTGCTTAGAATAGATACCAGCATTTTCACATCAGCTATTTGTTTACAAAACATAAAAGGTAACATCAAAAGTAAAAAGCTATGTGAGCTACAATGTAAACACAAATGTCTACCACAGAAGGTAAGCTTTGCTTCAGCTGTCACACCCAAGGCAGTCTTCACACGTGACAGCTGCATGTTTCATACACGAGTGTCACTTACACTGACAGCACGTTTTGTTTTTCTGTCCCTTCTTCCAGGGCACAGTTGACATATTTTTGTTCTCCTGCCGTTGTAGCAGGTCTGTGTGATACTCCACCTGCCTGTTCACCTGTCAGCTCACCAGTGTGCTCCAAGTTTTTTTTATTGTTTCTACCCAGTTCCCTGGGTAGAAACATTTTGTTTCCCTCTGCTGTAAGTGATCCCTTATGAACTCCAGTCCCAGTCCTCTAAGAAAATTTCTCCGTGATATTTTGTACTTGTTATTTTTTTTCCTGTAAGCTATCAAACTATTTATGCCACACGTTTAGGATTGAGTAAGACACAACCATCAGCCAGTGCTTTGTGTTTCAAGTGGCATCGTAGTTGCTACATAACTCATCAACAATGTCTCCTCCATGTTTGGTTTGTTGTAGAAAGCTTCCACCTCAGGCTTCCCTTTCGGTGAGGTTTCCCTCTCAGTATTTCCATCATGCTGCAGTGTTGACGTCAGCAGTACCAGTTTTTCTTTGCCATATAGGAGGCCAGTGTTACGTGTTTCTGAAATCCAAAGATTGTACCATACACTTCTCTGGTTTGAAATTGCAACATTGCCTTTGGAATTTCTGCTTTGTTCCTGAGTATAGTCCCTGCGCTGGTCCACTTGTGCCCCGTCAGCAGTGCCATGTCCCTTGGAAAGCAGTGAAGCAGTAAAGCAGTTGTCCAGCGTCACATTCCGATCAGTTTGGGAGACAGGAGCGACAAGTCTGTTCGCAGCTTCATTTGGCTTATTACTATATGAGTGAGGACCTGATGGCTGGGTTCCAGGATAAAGGTCTAAATTGAAAGCATATAATAAGTCTTCACATCTACAAGGACGTAAATTTTTATGCCATATTTTGACCCATCGCTTTTCCATAAATCTTTTACATTCCTGAAATTACCATAAGCAATCTGTGCTGAGTACAGCAAACCTGAGAATGCTTTCAGTTCAGCTAGTGCAGTGTCATAAGTACATTTCTGAATATGGCTGTTGGTGCATACAGAATGCTTTACTTGCATCTCAGCCTTTGTGTGTCTCACAGCATCTTATAACATTTCATCCATTACAATTTCCAACACCGAATAGCAGTGCTGGCATTCTGTCCAACATGGGTCACCCTTGCCAGAGCTTCACTCTATATTTTTGGACCTCGTTCTAATGTTGGGTCATTCCTTTTTGGTGCATGGTCATTTCGCAGCATTTCAACTAGTTAAATACAAACTCACATTTTCTTGGTCGTGTGAATCAGGAGCTCTGCATTCCCTGTGTCTGTATCAGTCGATTCTCACCCCATTTCACTACCATAGGAACTTTGACTCACATGGCCAACGTCAAAGTCATCATCACCATCATCATCCACCCATACCACTCTGCATAATGGATCGTCATCTGTGCATGATAATCTGTGATTCACTTTTGACCTCCAGAATTTGCAAATCTGGTTTTACATGTGCCATTACACAGAACTGGACTACTTCTACCAGAAAAATCAAAAGAAAACTTAAAAAAAAAAACCACAAATACTGGAGTGTGTACTCTGCGATGCCTGAGTGAAAACACAAAACCAGTTAGGCAAAGCATAATGTGGGTAAAAATCCCCCTTTGCCACTTTGGCACATGTACCTACTCCTTGCTGTTAGAACAAGTGGGTAAACACATACATTGCTTCCCGTATCCCTCAGGGGAACATACTGAGAGGCACAGCCTGCTGTTATAATGGCGAAGTACAGATTTGCAGTGCAAAACATGGGATGTGTCTGCTGGACGCAGGCTTAGGCTGTCAGTAACTAACGATTGTGCTTGTTCCTGTGGGTACAGGACAACTCTTGGGTGCCAGCCACAATCCACTTCTTGCATCTGTAAGGGGTCCTGGACCTGCAGGTTACACGTTGTGTGGGGCTGAGGTCCACCACCTGATGCGAGGGTCTCATGAATCGCATTGTAATTTCCAAATACTAAGAATTTAGGAGGAGCACTGAAGCGCAAGTCAGAAGGGTCCTCGGAGAGAGAGTGCTGCGCATAGCGGCCCACTTGGCCCTCTGCCACTCAGACTGGGCCTTGTCCCTGTGTCCCCCACCCTGCATCTGCCTCCTCACTTGTGCACCTTCTCTGCGCTGCAGGGGGACACGGGTGTGGTCTGTACATGGCTTCGGAGCAGCATGGGTGCACACAGGCGCTGGTGGGAGGGGTGGCTGGGCGGAGCGGGAGCAGCCTCGTGGGACTCAGAGCCACTGGCCGGAGGCTTTGGGGCAGGTGCAGCTCCACCAGCGTGGGATCCTGCTTGGTTCTGGAGCAGCCGTGTGACACAGCGCTGCTTACAGGGTGGGCAGAGAGCCTGGGAGGCAGGCAGCAGAGCAAGGAGTTTTGTCTCGAGTATGGCGGGACCTGGGGTCCCCCTGCATCTGTCCTGGCACCTGGCTGGGGTGGCTGTTTGCAGGTTGCGATGGGTCAGCGTGGGTTTGAGCCCAGGATCAGAACTGTCTCTGGGGTCCGGAAGCAGCACCTGTATCGGGCAAGCAGCTTTTGGTTTCCCTGCATACTTGAAAAGGACGGGCTCAGGAGGCCGCGAACCTGGGCCTCTGCCCCTTCCCTTCCGCAGCCAGGGCTTGCATTAGGACGTGGTGGCACACGCGGCCATCTGTCACACAGCCACAGAGAGGTCACCACCTTCCGCTTTCCCTCAGGGTGAGCACCTTGGCAGGGGCACGCGGACACACATCTACTCCGGGACACTGGTGGACTACAGGGACGATGAGGGGACCGCAGAGGAGAAGAGGATAAAAGTGATCCTCAAAGTCCTCGACCCCAGCCACAGGGACATCTCTCTGGTTGGTGCTCCCCCACTCGGTCCAGAGCCCCCTCTTCTGGTCAGAACCCTCTCCTTAGCGCAGTCACAGCCAAGCCCCGAGCGTCCCTTGCCTTGCTGCCCGGCTTGTCCTGCCTGTGGCTCCAGGTGGCGCCAGGCAAGGGGAAAAAGCCGGGTGGCCTCAGGGCTCCCACGCCAGTGTGGAAACGCCCAGGATCCCTGCCTTTCTGGGCTCCCACGGGCTCCAGAGTGACAGCAGGTCTGGTCTGGACATCTGCTGCCTCAGTTTCCTCTTCACTCTAATATAGCAGCCAGCTCTGCATCCGGTAGCATTTTCTAAACCAATCTCCTGTGGCGATCAGACTGGCCTGCAGCTCATAGCTTTGCAACATTGCTGGGTGGCTGAGGCTGGGGGACCGTTTTCAGGGCAGGGGTGGCGCAAGTGAGCTCCCCTGGTGCGGCCCTAGCCTTCCCTTTGCCCGCTCTCCCACAGGCCTTCTTCGAGGCGGCCAGCATGATGAGGCAGGTGTCGCACAAGCACATCGTGTACCTGTACGGCGTGTGTGTGCGCGACGTGGAGAGTAAGTGTGCGGCACTGGCTGCGGTGGGGTGGGGACTCAGCGGCCGAACCCCCTGCTCTGCACTTCTTCAGCACCTGTCCTGCTGCAGGCCCAGCCTGTCCAGGCTGGAGGCTGAGGCGGGCCAGGGACTCTGCCTGGGATGGTGCCTGGGCCTCTGCCTCGAGGCTGAAGCTGGAGAAATAGGCAGCCTCTGCCTCTGCTTCCTAACACATAAATTCAAAACAAGAGGATTCTTTCTTCTTTTTTCCCTGTGTACTCTGGATTATTTTCCATTGTACCATGCTACATCTTCAGCCCTTTCGTTATTTTTGATTTTGAGACTGGGTCTTACTAAACTCCTAATCTGCCCAGGCTGGGCTCAAATTTTACCGTCCTCCTGCCTCAGCCTCCCAGTGTGCTGGTATGACGGTGTGCCCCACCATGCTCAGCTCCCCAGCGGCTTTGCTCCCAGGCCTACAGTGCAGCCGGTGGCGCTCACATGCGAGTTGGTCTGGGAGCTGCTCCTCCACCGTGGAGGAGGAGGAGCCGGCATGAGGCAGGGCCACATCAGTCCCCCAGACTGGGAGTGTGGGTCCTGCTCTTTCCACGCTCACGGCTGAGAGCTGTGATCTCTGAGAGGCTGTCACTACTCAGGCCTCAGATCAGAGGAGGGCGGGGTGACCAGGCCTCTGCAGGGGCTGGCCTGCCTGGGTGTGTGCGCGCTCACGCACAGCCCAGCTGTGCACGCGGCAGGCGCTGGAGGGGGCGGTCCTGCCTCGAGACAGAAGCTCCAGCGGGCTGTCTGCCGCAGATATCATGGTGGAGGAGTTCGTCGAGGGGGGGCCCCTGGACCTCTTCATGCACCGTAAGAGTGACGTCCTCACCACCCCCTGGAAGTTCAAGGTCGCCAAGCAGCTGGCCAGCGCCCTGAGTTACTTGGTGAGCCGGGGCTGGCAGCCGCCCGGGCCGCTCTGTGGGTGGGAGGTGTGTCCGTGCAGCGTGCGCAGGAGTGAAGCATAGCTGCCCAGTGCCTGTGTGGACTGCCTGGGAGCTGAGGCTTGTCGTGCTTCTCCTGGGCTGTGTCACTCTCAGAGCCTCGTGTCAGTGGTGGGCGTGCAGCCTCAGGTCCCCATGCAAGTCCCACGTGGGCTGGTGTAGGGTGGGGAGGGAGGACAGGCTGTCTGGCCAGACGCACACTTTCACCTTGCAGGAGGACAAAGACCTGGTCCACGGGAACGTGTGCACCAAGAACCTGCTGCTAGCCCGCGAGGGCATCGGCAGCGAGATTGGCCCATTCATCAAGCTCAGCGACCCCGGCATCCCCGTCACCGTGCTGTCCAGGCAAGGTGTGTCCCAGCTGGCCCTGCCCTCGCCAGCCAGGAGGAGGAGGGCTGACCTGGCTCTGCAGCTGTATGTGGGAGTCCCTGGGAGTGTGCCAGATAGTGCATCAAGGGGCCAGTGGCCCCGGCAGACCTGGGCCTCAGGGGCTGTGAGAGGTGGGGGGGCCCTTGGGGTCCTGCTCTGTGATCAGCAGCTCTGCCAGATGCCTGGGCACCTGGGGTGGCCCTCACTCCCCGGCGTCCTGAGGGGTCCTGTGCTGTGTGTCCTCACTGCAAGCCACAGCTCTGTGTGCTGAGGCCCATCGTCTGCGAGCCGCAGGGTGGACCCATGCATCGCAGGCCTGCACTGACGCCTAGCACCGAGTTCTGCTCCGCACCCACAAGGAGCGTGCTCAGTAACTGATGAGGAGTAGGGGAGGCTGGGGAAGGAAGCTGAATGAGTAACATGCCTTGCACATGAGCTGCCTGTGACTGCTCTGGAGAGGGAGGGAGAGGCGCCCAGGGCTGTCAAGGGCAGGGAAGCCGGGTTTGAGGTGCTCACTTGAGCCTGGAACATCCAGGAGAGGGTGGCATGGGCCTGCAGGCGGTGGCCGTGCAGACAGAGGAGGTCCTCGACATCCTCACACGGTCCACGGGCCCTGCGGTGCCCAGGAAGCCACGTGAGAAGATTGGGGCCCGCCTGCCTCCGCTGCTGGGCAGCAGGGTCACGCTGTGGAGGCCACGTACTGGCCTTGGGCAGCTCCGGTAGGACTGACACGGGGTCTGCCGAGCCACTGGCTCCGGCCTTGCTTCGAGGCTACATAGGGCACTGAGTGCAAGGGATAGTGGGTTTCTGGGCCCCACTGTCCTTTGCCGGTCAGCGTGAAGCTCCCGTGGGGGTGTGCCCGGCGGGGCGGGGCCTCTGTTCCTGCCTTCTTTCCCGAGCCTCTGTTCTTATGTTCCCACCCCCAGAGCCGCCTGGGTGCCCTGCTGCTTTTGAGGCTGCACCCCTCTTGGGGGCCTGTAGTAAATGATGCCCCCTAGCCCTGCAGCTGTACTGGAAGTGCCAGGGGAGCTGGGAGGACCCGAAAGTGAGGCCTGCCCTGTGGGGACACTTGGTCTCCCGGGGCTGAGCCACTGCGTCTCTCCCCAGAGTGCATCGAGCGGATCCCCTGGATCGCCCCCGAGTGTGTGGAGGACTCCAAGAACCTGAGCGTGGCTGCCGACAAGTGGAGCTTTGGGACCACGCTCTGGGAGATCTGCTACAATGGCGAGATCCCGCTCAAGGACAAGACGCTGATTGAGGTGAGCTGTGCTGCCCGGCCCCGGGGGACAGAGGCACAGGGCTCCAGGAAGCCCCGACCCCAAGCTACTGCCCTCAGCCTCGGCCTCATGACCGTGGAGGAGGGTGGAAGCCCTGTGCCGGGGGGCCGAGGAGAGTGAGTCAGGGCGACAGCGCGGCCTGCGGCACCGAGCTCCTGTGCCTCAGGCACTGAGAACGGACAGAGGGTGCTTCCCACGGGGACTGGGTGGCTGGGAGTGGCGAACACGCACGTGGGAAGGTTCTCGGGTGACACGCAGAACCGGGAGTCCAGCTGCAAGCAGAGACAGGTGTGCATGGCTTCACTTGATTCTTTTTTTTCTTTCGGTACCAGGAGTCGAATTCACGACCTTGCTCTTGCCAGGCAGGCGCTTGTGCCATTGAGCTACATCCCCCAGCCTTGATTCTTTAAAATATAAATTATTTCTGAATTTTAGAACAATAAAGCAGTTGAAATTTTGGAAAATGGAAACAACTATTGAAAAATAGTCATCTCTGATCACTGTTAACACTTAGGCCTTGGGCTTCTGTCTGTCTGTGTCTCTCCGGTTAGAAGGACGAGCACACTAGGTACAGATGTGCTTTCCTACGAGACAGACCAAGTCTTCCAGTTTGATAAGTGTACTGCGAATGCTAATTATTTTGCTTACCTCTGACTTACCTACCTAGTTCTGCCTTTGGCTTTATGTTGTTTTCAGATCTCCTGCATCCTCTTGCTGTGCATAGGTCTTTGCCCTCCTCTGCTTTATCCTGAGCCTGCTCATGATGGGCACTGCAGGTCAGAGGGCGGCAGGCTGAAGCTGCTCCCCAGGCAGCCGCCCCGCAGCCCCAGCCATAGCTGGGAGAGCGCCTGGCTCTCTGGTGTGCGGCGGAAGCACTGGGAACCCGCCCGGCCCCATGAGGAGGCCGAAAGTGTGGCAGTGGGTGGCTCTCGGTTCCCACTAAGCCCCCTCCTTACAGAAAGAGCGGTTCTACGAGAGCCGCTGCCGGCCAGTGACGCCGTCCTGCAAGGAGCTGGCTGACCTCATGACCCGCTGCATGAACTACGACCCCAACCAGAGGCCCTTCTTCCGCGCCATCATGAGGGACATCAACAAGCTGGAGGAGCAGAGTGAGACGCTGCAGGCGCCGTCCAGCAGGGCTGAGGGGCAGGACCAGGGCTCACACCCAGCGCTCACCTCTCACCCGTTTTCTCTTCTGTTAGATCCAGACATCGTTTCAGAGAAACAACCGGCCACCGAGGTGGACCCCACCCATTTTGAGAAGCGCTTCCTGAAGAGGATCCGCGACCTGGGAGAGGCAAGTGTCCCCTGCTCGTAGGCTGGGGTGGTGTCCTCTGCTTGTGGCAATCGCAGGCCACCTCTGGTCCTGGTCAGAGTGTGCGAGGCCCCTGGCTGCCTCCCAGGGCATGCTTCTCCCTGTGCCACGGGCTGCAGGGTGCGCGTCCTTGCCCGCCCATGTGACGGTGTCACAGCTGGAGCTGCCTTGGGGACAGATGTGGTGGATGTAGGGACCCTTTGTCTCTGCCTGTCCTGTCTGGTGGAGCTCTGTGAGTGGGAACAAGTTTCCGGGAGCAGCGTGACCAGAGAAGCACCGCGGGTTTTGGTCTCTGCATAGCCTTGTCACTGAACACAGGCTGCGGTGCCCCGAGGGTCCGCTCTGTGCCAGTGGCGTGCTGGGCATTCCCACGAGCATAGGGCAGCATCGCAGCCCACAGGGGCGGGAGGTTGGCAGGAGCCTGCTGGAAGGTTGGGGCCCTAACACCCGCGTTCCCATTGAGTGGCCTGGCTGGGGTCTGACCCCTGCATCTGGGGTCCCCGGTGCACAGGTGCCGGTCAGCTCCCCTGTGTGCCGGGCCCAGGGCCCGGCCTGTCACACACCTGCCGCTGCTGCTCTCGCCTGGGCTCAGTAACGGAGGGCCGTGAGGCCAGGAGAGGAGGGCGCTGCCCAGCCTCCTGGGGACATCTGTGTCGCAGCAGCCCGATAGCCATTCGTGCATCCCTCCCTCCAGGGCCACTTCGGCAAGGTGGAGCTCTGCAGGTACGACCCCGAGGGGGACAGCACCGGGGAGCAGGTGGCCGTCAAGTCCCTCAAGCCCGAGAGTGGAGGCAGTCACATCGCCGACTTGAAGAAGGAGATCGAGATCCTGCGGAACCTCTACCACGAGAACATCGTCAAGTACAAGGGCATCTGCACAGAGGATGGTGAGCGGGGCCCATGCTGTCCCCAGGGGCCCTGAACCCTTCCTAGCGCCACACGGACGCTGCTCGGAAGTGACGGCACCTGCTCTCCCCGTGCTGGTGCAGAGCTAGTGAAGCGGGTTGTGTGGGCCCAGCTATGTCAGAGTGGGAGGTACTAAGTAGTAGTTACTGGCACATGTAGCTGTTTCTTTTTTTATCCTTTTGATGGTACTGGGAAATGAACCCAGGGCCTCTGTACTGAGCTACATCCCTAGCTTCTTCTATTTTCCATCTTCTGTTTGAGATAGGTTCTCACTAAGTTGTCTGGGCTGGGCCCAAACTCGTGCGCCTCCTGCCTTAGCCGCCGAGTGTTGGGATTATCGCCCTGCACTGTTATGCAAGCCAGCATCTGCAAGCCAGCATACAGCTGCTCTTGTGTATCTTCTGACTGGTAGTGAAGCCAGTAGTGCACATCTGTAATCCTAGCTACTCAGAAGGCCGAGGGAGGAAGGTCATGACTTCGAAGTCAGTGTGGGCAATGCAGCGAGACCTTGTCTGAAAATAGAAGCAAAAACAATAAAATGGGTAGTGAGAGGGCAGGACTCATACATTTTAAAAATTCTCATTTGCTTAGTGGTGACAGCGTGGAGGCTATGTTGTCCTGGTGAGGGCTTGTGATGAAGGCCAGGACCGAAGTGTCACAGCACCCCGCTACTGGGGATCCTGAAGGCGGGGGAGCCTTCCCGTCAGTCGGGGCCTTAATAGGACACGGATTTCTCCTGCACAGGTGGAAATGGTATCAAGCTCATCATGGAGTTCCTGCCCTCTGGCAGCCTGAAGGAGTATCTTCCTAAGAACAAGAACAAGATTAACCTCAAGCAGCAGCTCAAATATGCCGTTCAGATCTGTAAGGTACAAAGCAAGGGACCCCGGGGCAGCGGTCCAGCCCTGCTCACTCCGTGGGTCCTTGGATTGTCACTGGCGGAGGGTGGGCGATTGCGGGCCTGGCGGAGCACGCCTCTGAGCGGTGAGTGGTGTGAGGCAGGGCTGCTTTCGTGGAGACCCCTGGGAGCGGGTGCGAGTGTAAAGCAAGACGACGCTAGTGATCGGAGGGGGCACTTTCTCTGTGAGCCCTGAGGACCTGAGCGGGGCTGTGCCCACTGTCCCCAGGGCATGGAGTACCTGGGCTCCCGGCAGTATGTCCACCGTGACTTGGCAGCCAGAAACGTCCTGGTGGAGAGCGAGCACCAGGTGAAGATCGGGGACTTTGGGCTCACCAAGGCCATTGAGACTGACAAGGAGTACTACACAGTCAAGGACGACCGCGACAGCCCCGTGTTCTGGTAATGGAGCTGAGCCCTGGGGTTCCTGCTGGCTGGGCCGGCCCCCTTGCTCTGGCCCGACGCTGGGTCGGGGCGGACTAGAAGCCCCAGGGAGCAGTTCCGACCGCTGTGCAGGTGCAGCGTACGCAGGCCCCAGCCTTGCTGGCCCGGCTCCATGTGGCAGGGTCTGATGGGGGTGCACTTCCGGCTCGGGGGGCGCCTGCTCCTGCCTCAGCATCCACCCTGGGACACATAGGGGCACTGGGCAGCATCAGGGAGGCCCCATCTCCCTGGCTAGAAGGTGGGGTGCTGGCCGCAGTGCCTTCTGCCCTGAGTCCTTGCCAGGGAGCTTGTAGGTGTCCCCCCTGCAGCTCCTGTAAAGCTGACCGGCGCCCTAGGGTGCACGGCACAGACAGCCCTCTCCCCATGGCCGGGCCTGTGTCACTGCAGTGTGCGCCAGCCCTGCAGCGGGGCCAGCGCCAGGGCTCGGTGCAGCAGGCCTGGATGGCTTCGTGGTTTCTGGAAGCTGGCCGATCGGAAGGAGGGCAAGACGTGCGCAGGGCTGGGAGTCGGTGCTCAGAAAGCCGAGCTTCCGGGCTGGGCGTCCTCCCAGGAGAGACTGAGTCAGACCCCGGGGGCAGAGAGGGCAGGGCTGGAGCCACCGAGCACTGTGACAAGGGTGGGTGGGGAAGGCGAGACGGTGCAGGCTCGGGAGAGCTCAGGAAGGAGGGCTTGGGTCTGGACACGAAGGGGGCTTGGCTGGTGTAGGGTTCTCACCAGCACAGGCTGCACCAGGAGACCCTGCCGACTGGGAGTACAGTCTTCTGAGTGCTGTGGGTGGGGAGGTTAGGATGTGCCCGCGGGGAGGACATGTGCAGTACCCCAGCGCCCCCAGCACTAGAGGGCCAGGTCCCGAGGTACTTGGCATGCGTGTCGGTACCTCCCTCCCCAGACACCAGGGCTCCCTTGCTTCCCACTCAGGTACGCGCCAGAGTGCTTAATTCAGTGTAAGTTCTACATCGCCTCCGACGTCTGGTCTTTCGGGGTGACGCTGCACGAGCTACTCACGTACTGTGACTCAGACTCCAGCCCCATGACCGTGAGTCTTACCTCCCTCTGCACCCTGGCCCAGTGCAGAGCCCTGCTCGGCCAGTGGAACCCCTGTCCCTGCATGTGTGACACGGGAAGGGGACACACTGCTGTCCCTCCTCGTTTGCTTTAGTGCCCAACACTGAGGCTGTGTCCTGTAGGACGACCTTCCTTCCCTGGGTCTGGTGTGTGTGCCAGGGCAGGGGACACTTCCCCGGGGCAGGCGGCCTGGGGAGAGCTCATTTGAGTCCCTTGGACTCCGGGCTGGGACTGTTCTCCTGCACAGGCCCCAGGAGCAGGGTGGCGGCAGAGCCCAGGACATCGATCACGGGCCGATCATGGGGGCTGAGGGCTCTGCACCTTCAGCTAAGACGCTAAGAAGCAGAGCATTTTCGTTCCTTTAATTGCCAGTTCTAGCAGTCTGTTCGGTTTTTATGCGAGCGGGTGTGAAGTGAAGCATTTTGTTGGGTCTTGTTTTATACATAGTTGTTCCTGAAAATGATAGGCCCAACTCACGGCCAGATGACAGTAACCAGGCTTGTGAACGCCCTGAAGGAAGGGAAGCGCCTGCCGTGTCCACCCAACTGTCCCGATGAGGTACGCAGGCTGCGCAGCCAGGACGCGCACTTGCACCACGTTGTCCCAGCGAGGGCTGGGGGTGGGTGGTTTCGGAGGCGGCTCGGAGACGCTAACTTGGGGCAGGGGACAGAGATGTTCAGGGCTCGGATTCTTGGGGTGCCCCAAGCCAGCCCCAAAGGAGGCTCTGGCGGGCTTCTTGTGGAACAGTGAGGCTGTCACATGCGCGTCTCCGAGTGCACATCCCAGCGACTCCTCCGCCGGCTGTGGAGTGAACTGAGCCTCGGCCATGCTGCGGACCACCGGGCCCTGCTGAGTGCGGGGCTGTAGGTTGCGTCACAGCGCCCTTTGTGGTCGCAGTGGCCACCCGGCCTCACAGTGTTCATGTTACTTTGAGCTGTGGTCCGAACGCCAAACCTCAGTTTCTGTGTTTCGATGGTTGAGATACTTCTGTAGTCTCATTAAGGAAAAGCCATCCTACATGTCTAAAATTATTTTCTTACTCAGTGTTTCTGTAATTTTCAAAAAGCTTCCTGATATAACAACATTTTTATGTTGTCACTTGTTTTTTTTTTACTTTTGTACAGGTTTATCAGCTTATGAGAAAATGCTGGGAATTCCAGCCCTCCAGCCGGACAACCTTTCAGAGCCTTATTGAAGGATTTGAAGCACTTTTAAAATAAGAAGCAGGAGTAACATTGAAATTCCACTGTTTATCCAGCCCGCCTACCACAGCAAATACCCAAGACATTTGTAAAAAGTGATGGAAAAGCTTGCATTCTGTCTGAAAAGTCCCGCAACAGACTTGGGTGTGGGTGCGTCATGTGCACTGGGGTGCCGGCCGTGCGTAGGAACGTCCTCTGTTAGTTGGGCGCCTCCTAAGTCCGGTGACAGTGACAGCCCAAGCCCCGGAAGGCACCTAAGCACTCCTCATGGAAAGGACGTCCCCGTGGCAGTCACAGGCCGAGCAGGACCGGTGCAGGACGGGGGTCGACCACGTGCCCGTCTCAGATGGTTGCTCCTCCTAGGTCCAGGTGGCCCAGCTGCTTTCTGGCACATTACTCTTGGGCAGGGGCAGATGGCCTTGGTGGCCGGGACTGCTGAAGTGCCCTCAGATTTCAGCAGCCCTGCGGGGCAGGCCGAGCGCTCTAAGGTCCTAGGCCCATACTAGGCTGGTGTGCTCTGTCCCCCTGCAGGACTGCGACTTGGAGCTGGGCTCAGGTGGTGCAGCTGCCGCTCGCACTCTGCTCAGGGGCTCCGCTGCTGTGTACTCTGGCTCTGCACGGGACAGTGTGGGATTCACCCCTGCTGCATGTGACATCTTGAGAACCTGCCGTGCCCACGCTGTCCCCAGCGTTCTCTAGCTGCACAGACTCTCGGATCTGGATGCTCGGACACACGCTTCGAAAACGCTGCTGCTGTGCAGGAGGCCGCGCCAGCCCCGTGGGACGCTGTGCGCGGGGAGAGCATGTACCCTGACACCGCGTTGCTCCGAGAGTTTCCAGCGCCAGCCACCACCCAGAAGGGCCAGTCACCACTCTGACCTCTCCCTGAAGTGCGGAACGTGGAAGAAAACAGCAGCTCTAGAGCTCAGGATCCATGCAGCTGTTCTTAGTTTGTTCGATGGTAGCTGAGTAACCCCAGATGTTAGTCTCTGGGTCAGAGTGAGCTGTGAAGTTCTTCATGACCAGCGTGCAGAGCCGCTGTTTGTGCTGTCCAGTACGCGTCTGACACGTTATCTTCACCTCCCGTGCGCGGTCAGCACTGCCTGCAGGACAGAGTGAGCTTGCCACTTTGACTGGTCCTGTTTCCCTACATCACAGCTTCTCTGTCTGTGTCAAACCTGTGGCCATTCTATATGCACTTTGTTTACTCTTTATACAAATAAATGTACTAGAGACCTCATGTGCATATGCCTTTCAGTATGAAGCGCTCCTTTGCATGGCATCCCCAGCAGTTTGCTTACACGGAACAGTAACAGGACAGGCCCCGGGGAGAGGCTTGGTGACGGTCCTCATCACTGGCCCTCCTCGTTCGTGCTTCCCTGTGGGGTCCCGACAGTGGCACAGGCTGGCGTGGGTGGCGAGTCCACATGTGCTGTCATCAGACATCTCTGTTTCAGAGTGCAGCCTGTTGATCTGCTGTTGCCGCTCTGCCATGAAAGCCACTGGCCTCCCTTTCCTCAGTGCACACTGTCGTGGAGGCGACCTAGTGCTCGGAGGCTGAGAGCTGCGGCAGGAGGGCAGGGATGGGCGCCATCAGCACCACCTCCTGATGCCATCTTAGGGAGTGCGCTGCTCAGAAATGGCCCAGCTTAACTTGCCAGCTGTCCTTTTCCAGTCCAAGCAGTACACACATAAATTAGACCAAGGAATTCTTTACAAGACTTACAACACAGGCCCCCGTTCTAGATGTTCTGATTAAAGAAGGAGAACATCTTGGTCAAACATGGTGAGTCCCAAGGCAGTGTTTTGCTTAGCTGATCTAAAGAGGAGGGTCAGTGAAAGCCCAGACTCCATCCATTACAGCCTCAACACAGTAGAGAAACCTAGAATTCCAGATGGCAAGAGTTTCTCATGCATTTGGTGCCAGTTTTCAGAAAGGGTGATGTCAGAGTCACATGTGTGGACAAACCGGGTGAAACAGCAGGCATCTCAGCCTATGGTGACCTGAGAGACAAAGCAGAGGGTGAGGTGTGGCTTACCGGCACCAGCTGGCTTGGACACTCCCCACAGACTCCTCAGGAGAGGCGTGCTGACCTCTGAAGGGAACTGTGGAACAGCATTTGATGATCAGAGGCCTGGCTGGTCATGAGGTCCTCACCTGTCGTCCTACGAAATGAGGCACGGAAACCTGTGTCCCTGCCCTTAGAGTCTGTCCCAGAAGTTAAGGTGGGTCTTGAACAGTATGTGAGCGGGAGTGTCCCAGGACACCGGGCTAGGCATCGGGTTTCATGGACGCTTCCTGCCGTAAGTTTTCTCCCCTCTCCCAACCATTGAAAACATTCTTACCTCGAGGGCTGCCCAAAGGCAGGCAGTAGAGCAAAGTGGGCCTAGGAGCTTGTTTTGGTTGCTTTTTTCTCTCTTAGGCCTGCTTTGCTCCCTCCGGGCAGTTTTCCTTAGATCATCCGTTTTCCTTAGATCATCCACAGTCCTGGCTTTTCTAAACTTCTGAGGTCTCCAGGGCACCTTTTGCTTCACACTCACAGCCTCACACACTGCCCTCTCAGGGGCACACTGCCTGGCCTCCCAGGCCTTCTGAAATCTGGGTGGAAGCCTCTTTAACCTCAGAACTCCTGCATTCTCCACGCACCTAAAGCCAGGGCCACGGGGATGATGCCAAGGTCCGCTGCCACCTGGAGCAGTAGCCAAGCTTTCCTCTCTCTTGGCCACAGGGGTCGAGTGCCTGGATCGCTGGGCACTCTGAATCCAATTCTGAGGAACAGATCCTCTATGCTGTGCCATTCTGGAACAGGGCTAGTGTGCCAAGCCCTGTATTAGATCACTGAAGTTACCCCTAAAATACCTTCTTGTCTCCCGGAAGGTGTAACTACACCTTAACTGTGCTCTTGGGTTACCATCACCCAGCTGGAGTGCGGGTTGTAAAGTTTGGATTGCCATCACCACATTTGGTACTTACACCCTCAGTTACAGGATAAATTCTAAAAATCCATACATGAGATTACTTCTAGCGAAAGCAAACTCACATGCACACTGGCTTATAAGAAATTCATTCTAAGGCTGAGGAAACAGCTGTTTCCCGTTTATTGCTTCAGGTTTCATATGTGATGTCAAAATTGTTCCCAGTCCTAAAACAAGGAATACTGGTACAGTGTTAGTTTCTCCAGAGAACTGTAAGTGAATGTCACATTGATTAAGACAGTTAATTCTGGTGCAAAATGTCCTCGGCGGGTATTTCTTCTTATTGCTGCTTATGTTTGATTTGGCAGTTCTGCCTGCTGTGTGACACTGCTCCTCCTGGGAGTCGTGGACCCGTATTGAAGGCTATGGCTAGTCTGGGGGAAGTTAAGGCAGCGCTAGGCAGCACAGATGCTGCCGGGAACAGAGGAGGTGTCGAGGAGGACTCCACTCAGTACACGCGCTTCTTCTTCAAGTATGTCTCCACGTAGTACATGCCTGTGCCCTGGGCCTGCTGCTCCACGCAGTCCCCAGCGCCACCCTCAGGGGCGGTGAGCAGATAGGCCGCACCGCGCTTCTCAGTCCTGAAAGAGGACACCTGTGAACACAAAAGTGTGGGGTTAACAGCTGAGTTAAACGATGGTGGTGATCAGAGTTGTCAAGACTAACTTCCATCACCATCACCTGATCCTGAGCAGGTCCCGTCAGCCAGTGAAACGGGAGGAGCCACCGAGGAGTGTGGAGTATGAGAGATCAAGTGAAGGAAGTATTTCAAAAAGTAAAGAGAGGCAGGAAAATGGCAGAGCAGTGAGCAGTAACAACTCAGCTGCTCAGATTCAGAAGCCAGATGTCCGAAAATAACATCCTGAGGAAGAAAAAAGAGGGAAGCAGATCCCCAGAAACCAAGATCCAACAGGAGAATTAAAGCCACACAGAAATGGAAGAGATGGAAGGGCAGAGCCAGTCTGTCCCCCGGGCAAGTGCTTTCTGGCTCACAGGAAGAAGCCAAACATAGACAGAGCTGGGGGCTCCAGAGGGCCTGGGAGAAGAGTGTGGCAGGGAAAGGGCTGGTGGGCGCTGTGACCTAGAGGGAGAGAGGGCTCTGCCCCCATGTGAGTCCTTCCACAGCCAACAGCTGGGCAGTGACTCCAGGCCCAGTTCCTGCCATACCCGGCCCAGGTGAGAGTGCTTGGGCAGGTGCCATTCTGGGGTACAGAGCAGCCACAGATGGCTTCACTTCAGAGCTCCCAGTATTACATTCCCGCAGTGACTGGCTGAGACAGCCATGTGAGATGGCCATGGTCAGAGAGCGGGCTGGAAAGAGACGCCTAAGGGGTCACTGAAAGGACACGGCCTGACCCCTGCGGTCAGAGACCAGGCCCAGCCTGAGCTACTCCGGGTTAGGAAGTCCCAGCATTGGCACCCTTGCCCTAATCCTACTGCCTGCTGGTGCCTGCATCCTGCTTGGACCTGGGGTCTGACTGACCTTCACCACTGTGAGCAGGAGCATGTCTTGACTTGGATACTGCCCCAAAGCTGTGGATCCCAAAAAAACCCACACATTCAAAATCACAGAAAAAAAAAAAATGTGTGTACTCTTTTGCTTTGTTTTTGTTTTTTGTTTCTTCTGTCCTCTTTCTTCCTTACCAGTTTACTGGGATTTGGGGAATTTCCCTTTGTCCTTTTTTCTTGGTTCTTTTTCTCTCTTTTTTTTTTTTATTTATTTTTTCCTCTTCTTTTAATTTTTCTTCTTTTCTCTCTTATTTTTACTTTTATTATTTTTTCCTGCTTCCTTTTCTTTTACCTTCTATTTCTCATCAGTCGTTACTGTTACCTAATCCTACAAACATCCTTCTGCTCCTGCATGGCATCCTTTGTCCCATTTCTCTCTCCTTGTCATATAGTTCAAGGTTTCACATTTTTTCTCTCCGTCTTTAATAGTACAGCCATAAAGCATTATTAATCTTCAGATCATTAACTATAAATTACTGTTGAATTACTTTCTACCATTAGTGGAGATAATAGCTTTTACATTTAGCACATATTAGCTGTAAGTCAATATGTGGGTCTTAATGTTTACACCACAATTGAGTTCACTCTTCTCAAGGGTTCAGGGTGGTACATGATTGGTTTTTCAGCTATGTTAATACCCAGTATATCTTTGACAATACTAGTGTAGCTGATTTGCCTGACATTGCCAGAGTCATATACTTGCTGCTACCAGTGGGTTTTCTCTAAAAGCCAACAGCCAGATTACCTGTGTGACATTAAAAATAGTGTAGTTCATTCCCCAGAGAACTCGGTACTCCACCTGTTTCTCTCCTCCCAAATTAACTGAGGTGCTCAGGTCTTGGGGCTGAGGCAGACTATAGTTAGCTACACCTAAAGTATATCATTAAAGAGATGTCTCTACTAGCAACAGAATGTATGTCCAAAAACCACAGCAAAAAACAGAGCAAAACAGTAGACACATAAGGCAACACAATGCCTCCCAAAATTCTCAACTGCCCTGAAGACAATTCTGGGAGGCTTCAACGGGGAGAAAAGCATAAGCCACCACTTGAATTACTTGAAAGGATAGCAGAGGAGGTTAGAAAACAGATCAAAGAGGTGTATTCAGTGGGATCACAGAAGATCTAAATAAACAGATAATGGAACTCATAGCCAAAAGGATCCAGAAGCTTTCAGAAGACACTAAATAAAAAGCTAGCTGAGTGAAACAAAATAATACAAAATGAATGACCAGTCTAGCAAAGAATTAGAATCCATGAAGGTTAAAATCAGAAATTCAGGAAATTAACAGTTACATTGATATGAGTAGCAAAGGTGACCAATGTGAGGACAGAATTTAGAACTAGGTGCCTTCAAGACCGACTACTCAAACACCCTAAAAGCAACAAGAGAATGTGAAAAATGGATCCAACCGCTGCTAGATGGTGCAAGGTAAGACTTGAATAAGTAAAAATAAGACAATACAAATTGGATTCAAAAAAACCTGTTCACAGCCAGGCATGGTGGCATGTGCCTGTAATCCCAGCACTCAGGAGGCTGAGGCAGTAGGTCTGCAAGTCTGAAGCCAATGTGGACTACATAGTGAGTTCAAGGCCAGCCTGGACTGCATAGTGAGACCCTGACTCAAAAAAAAAAAAAAACAAAAACAAAATACTAAAACCTGTTCACAGAAATAATGGCAGAATCCCAGACATAGGGAAAGGAAATATACAGGTAAGTGAGCCATAGACCCACGACATTATACTCAAAGGTACCAGAAGATCATCACAGGATGAAATCTTAAAAGCTGTTGGGCAAAGGCAGCAAATCACATAGGACGGTAAACCCATTAGAATTACAGAGACTTAACACAAACTGTAAAGGTAAGGAGGGCTTTCAGTGTAGTATTTTTTTTTCCCCCAGTATCGGGAATCGAACTCACGACCTCACTCTTGCCCGGCAGACGCTGTGCCGCTGAGCTAAATCCCCAGCCCCTCAGTGCAGTGTTTCAAGCCTTAAAAGATAACTTCTAACCCTGATTTATGTGTCCTGCAACTCTCCTTCAAAGGTGATGGGGAAATGAGGTTATTTCCATAACAAGGAGCACTGCAAGAAATTCATGACCACCAAATAACCATTACAAAGAACTCCCAAGTATATCCCAGAAAGAGACAGGCTAACAGTGCCAGTGAGTCAACATGAATGATACACACGGTAGGGGGAGCAGCTAAGCAAAAGGGGAAATCAGCAACAGGAAGATAATGCAAGGACACAAATAAGTTGGTAATAACTTTCAGTAATAACTCTTCATGTGAATGGCAAAGCCCAAAGATATGCAGTATGTAAAACATTTAATTCAAAAATAAATTCACAGATTAAAAATCAAAGAGAGAAAACCATAGTATTCCACACAACCAGGGGATAAGCAAGAGTAGCTATCCTAACTCATCAGAAGAGACAAGGTCACTGCCTAGCAGTTAAGGAAACAATTTAATAGGGCTGGGGGTTTAGCTCAGCGGCAAAGTGCCTGCCTGGCAAGTGCAAGGTCGTAAGTTCGATTCCTGGTACCGCAAAACAAAACAAAACAAAACAAAGAAACAATTTAATAGTAAGTGATAACAATTATAAACATACATGCACCAAATATCAGTGCACCCAAATTCATAAAATCAGCACTAACTGACATGCAGTCAGATAAAAATCAATACAATTGTAATGGGGATCTCAGTACTGCACTGTCACAAACAGATCAACCAGACCAAAAAAAAAAATCAACAAATACCATAGTCGAATCAAACCTTCAAACAAATGGGCTTAATAGTTATGTGCAGAGAGTTCCATCCAACAACAGAATACACATTTTTCTCTGCAGCGCATGAGACTTTCTCCAGAACAGAGCCCATACTGTATACTTAAGCAAATGCAAAAAAATCAAAATTATCCCATGCATATTATCAGATCATGGTACAGTGAAACTAGAAAATAATGGCAAAAAAACCCACAGAAACTATGCAAACACATGAAAATTAAACAATATCCTCTTGAATAATCAATGGGTGGCATGAAATCATGGAAGAAGCTAATTTCCACAATCAAATGATAAGGCCAGTATAACATACCGAAACTTACGATACACAATGAAAGCAGTCCTAAGAGGGAAGTTTATAGCAGTAGATACCTACATCAGAAAAATAAAGCAAGCTCAAATAAATAACCTAATAATACACCTAACAGTCCGAGAAAAATAAGGACAACCCAAATCCAAAGCTGAAGTAAATTATAAAGATTAGAGCAGAAATTAATGAAACTGAGACTAAAAAAAATAAAGAATCAGTGAATTGAGTTGGTTCTTTGAGAGAATCAACAAAATAAACAAACCCTTAACCAATTTTACCAAAATAAGAAAAGACCCAAATCCATGCAGTTATTAATGAGAGAGACAAAATCACAATGGATTCTGCCCAAATTCAGCAGATCACAGGTAACTACTTTAAGAGCCTCTACTCTTAAGAAAATGGAAGTTCAGAAGAAATAAATTCCTAGACACATGAACTACCAAAGCTGAACCAAAAATGTGCAAAAATCCTGACTAATCCAATATCAGTCAGTGAAGTTGAAGAAAAAAAACTACTCACTAAGAAAAGCCCAGGTCTGGCAGATTCACTACCAAAGTCTTTAAGTACTTTAGAGAAGATCTAATACCAGCACTCCTCGAACCCTTTAATGAAATTGAAAGGGGAGCAGTACTCCCAAAGTCATTCTTGGAAGCAAGCATTACCCTGACTCCAAAGCCAGAAAAAGACTCAACCAAAAAGGAAAACTACAGGCAAATTTCTTTAATGAACACTGATGCAGAAATCCTCAAGAAGATACTGGCAAACAGAATGTACCAAATCATCAAAAAGATCATATACTATAGCCAAGTAGGATTCAGTTCAAGGCTTCAGGGATGGTTTAACATACACAGACCAATATATGTAATTCACCACATAAATAGGAGCAAAGACAGAAACAATATGATTATCCTACAAAAAGTATTTGACAAAATCCAACATCTATTCAAGATAAAAAGCCTCAACACATAGTAATAGAATAACATCAATATGATAAAAGGCATCTATGACAAACCTATGGCCAACATCATACTAAATGGAGAACTAAAAGCTTTCCTTATAAAATCAGGAACAAGGTGAGGATGTCTCTATCGACACTCCTATTCAATATAGTTCTTAAGGCATCAGCCACAGCAGTTAGGCAAGATTAAGAAATGAAAGGTATATAGATAGGAAAGGAAGAAGTTTAATTATCATTGTTTGAAGATGACATGATCTTCTACAATAAAAGACCCAAAAACTCCACTGAAAGAGTCTTAGAATTAACAACCAAATCCAGTAGCATAGCAGGATACAAAGTCAGCACTCAAAAACCAATAACATGGCTGTACACCAATAATAAACTCACTGACAAAAAATTAAGAAACAACTTTCACAATCTCTTCAAGAAAAATTAAATATTTAGGAATTAACCTAACCAAGGAAGTGAAAGACCTGTAGAAAGAAAAGTACACTAGTTAGAAAAAGGAGATTGAAGGGGACATCAGAAAATGCAAGGTATCTCCTGTTCCTGGATAGGCAGCATGAATACAGTCAAAATGGCCATACTTCCAAAACTGTTAAACAGATTTAACACAATTCAATCTAAATACCAATAGCATTCCTCATAGAAATAGAGAATACAAGCCTAAAATTCATGTGGAACCAGAAGAGACCCAGAATACCAAAAGCAACTAAGGGCAATAAGGGAATGGCAAAGGGTATCACATTCTGAGACTTCAAGTTCTCCTACAAAGTTGCAGTGATAAAAATGGCATGGCATTGGCAAAAAAAAAAAAAAAAAAACAGATTTGTGGGTCAACAGAACAGAACAACTCCACACACTCAGCTACCTGATCTTTGACAAAGGGGCCAAATACTTTGGCTGGAGGAGTGATAGCCTCTTTAACAAACGGGGAGGGCCGGGGGTATAGCTCAGTGGCACAAGTGCCTGCCTGGCAAGCGCAAGGTCCTGAGTTCAATTGCTGGTAAAAAAAAAATATGGTGTCGGGGAACAAGGCAGCCAAGCAGGCACAGCGATGCAGATCTTTGTGAAGACCCTGACAGGCAAGACCATCACCCTCAAGACTGAGCCTAGTGACACGACACCATTGAGAACGTCAAAGCCAAAACCCAGGACCGGGAGGTGCCCCACTTGACCAGCAGTGCCTGTTCGCTGGCAAACAGCGGGAAGATGGCTGGACTTTGACTACAACATCCAGAAAGATGTCCACCCTGCACCTGGTGCTTCACCTACACCAGCTAGCTCAGAAATACAACAGTGACAAAACAATCAGCTGCAAGCGCTATGCCCGCTGTCAGCTGCCACAAGAAGCACGGCCCCACCAAACCTGCACCCTGAGAAGGTCAAGTAAAGCAGGCAGGCAGCGTGGGGAGATCAGCTGGAGACTCCTCCCTATCTGCTTCCCCCTCCCTCCTCCCGCAGAGGACCGCGGTGAGGACCCGAGCCTCGGGGAGGCTCTCACGATGCCTCCCTCTCCTGTGAGAGCCCTGCGCCATGGATCGGCCTGAGTCTCCCCCGCGCCTGGCTCTCCGTCCATGCCAAGGACTTGCTTTTTCATTCAAGGATGGTCCAGTAGTGCCACCCCCTGCAGGGTGTGCGCCCCCAGATCCATTAGCTCAGCAAAGTTCCACTTCCTTAGAATCATAGTGAGAGCCGGAAGTGAAACGGGAGTTAACTTAGCCCTTCTGCACGAAACATTTCTGATATTTAAAAACATTTTTCCTTCTCCCATTGTTAAAAAATGTTTAAAAGCCAATGTTTCATTTTGTGACATTAAGACATACTGCCAAGAAAATGTCTCCCGAACCAGGAGTGGTGGCGCACGCCTGTAATCCCAGCACTTGGGAGGCTGAGGCAGGGGGATTGTTGCAAGTTCAAGACCAGCCTGGGCTATAAAGTGAGCTCAAGGCCAGCCTGAACTGCAGAGCGAGACCCTGTACCCTCCCCCCAAAAAAACTGATCTGACATCTAAAAGACTGTAAAATACGTAATTTTAAGTAAATTTTAAGTGTAATTTCCCTAATTAGTTTTAGCCCAAATCGCTTTTTACAAGTAATTTCCAGGTTATTGCCTCACCTAAATACAGAGAAGGCCGTGTTCCCAGACTCCGCCCGTCCCTTGCTCGCGGCTGCACGGCGTGGCCGCTAGGTGGCAGCGGCGGGCTCCCGACTGGGTTCGCTTTGCGGCTGCTTCGCCCCGCGCCGTTCATTGCCGCCCCGCAGCTTCCGGCCGGAACCACCCGGTCTCCAGGGTGACCCGGGCCGCACGCGCGCGCACGGCACGGTCCGGCTGCGGCGCTCGCAGTGCTGCGGAAGCGCCGGTCGCTCCGCAGCGCAGCCTGCGGGGTGGAGCCCCGAAGACGACGCTGGCCCCGGGTCCTCACCGCCTCACCGCCCCGACG